TTGAAGATATCAGGTTCTTTCTTGACAACCATTTCCTTACTTCTTCCATCAGCTATCTCTTTCTCTTGCTCACTTGAAAATTTGGAAGCGAATCTAACCATCTTAAGACAGTCTTTTATGGTAATTTGCTTCAACATTGGAAGCTTGAGGGTATTACTTCCCACATAGAAACTTGACAACTTAGAGCAAGACTCTATTGAAATGGACTCTAGTTGTGGGAATATTAAGTCAGTTTCAACGACCTCCTCAACTCTTGCAGCCATGATCACTTGTTCCATTGTTGCACAGTATTCTACTGTCAAGTCCTTGAGTTGCACAAGGCTCAATACCATGGAAGGGGTTAGAAGGTAGCTCAACCTATTACAATTACTAACTTCTAGATACTGAAGCCTTTTGGAAAGTAATGCTAATTCTTTAAGATTCTTTTTCCAAATTTCAATTTCAGAAAACTCAGAGATTTTGATACTTCCAGATGACGCATCCAGGTATGTAACCTGCAAAACCCAATAAATTAATCTTTGATATAACACAGAACCCAATAACAATAACAATAATATCAATAAAAGAAAGAAAAAACATTAATAACTCCATCCAATTGATCACAAAAATCAAATTGGAGAAATATATATACAAAAATATTCCTTTAAGTTTTTGAATTACAGTTTTTCCCTAACTGTCACTACATTAATGTCTCTATTATTTTTAAATTAAGGATTATAGAAAATGAATGATGCACCCTTAGTTCTTTATTAATGTACATTAGAATCAGAAACTAAGTGAAAGTTAAGCCACCCTCAATTGACCTTGTAAGCTCTTCTTCTAATCCCCTTATTGAAAGCGCTTTTGTTCTACACCTTTAAGAAACACAAACAAGAAAGAATGGCTAGTCTCTTAGCCATTCAAAAGGAAGAAAGTAGACCCATACAATTCTTTACTCTTCACTCTAAACTATCCCATACAGTCCCAACAAAAAAATTATTTAAAAGGTTTTCTTAAATCATATTGTATTTACATGTTCTTCTATTTCACTAAATCTAGTAATATTAAGTAAAGAAGGCTGAATATATAATGATTGAGAAACACACAAGGAAATCTTTGAATTAGTGTGTACCTTTTGAGTGTATAAGTCTTGTATTGTGCTGTTAAGATCGCTTACCCAGTGTCCTCTCTCTTCATAATCTGTCCATTGAACATTTTGTAATTCCTTTGTTACTGTCTTTCCCAAGGAAAAATATTTCATCTGTGGACATCCTATCACAATTACTTCTTTCAAAGATGGGAACTCCAAGTCACACTTCCCTGTGCAAAAGCTTGACAGTTTGGGAAGGCAGCGAAGTTGCAAAGACTGGAGTTGGCTATAGACAATGCCATCCTTCACATTATCTTCCATGCATTTGACAATTTCTTCCACTAAGTAACAATCAGTTATGCTCATTCTTTTCAACTTTTCTAAGCTTTTAGCAGTTGAGTAACTCACTAAATTTTCAAGTCCATGACATTTTGATATTTCTAGAGTCTGCAGGTTCTCAAAAGATACAACTGATGGCACTAAATTCACCAATTTGATACACTCAAGCACCTCTAGAGTTCTCAAGTTGTAGAAAATCGATTTGAGGTGAGATTCTTCCTTCCAAAGATGCATTAACCCATTAAGTTTTGATAATTTTAATTCACTTAACCGAGAGGGCGCATATACAGGTCTTCCCTCACTATGAAGTCTTTCACATAGGAATATTTCATGAAAGGAAGCTTCACTCACATCCAGCTTCTCAAGACTGGGTAGTGTCTGGAAGAAGAAATTAAAAGAACGAAGAAGAGCTGAACAATTTTGGAGTCCGTGGAGTTCAATATCTTTTAGTTTGGGAAAATAGACCCCTGGATATTGACCACGCCATATCTCCTTCATGTTATTATATTTGAGATTCAGTTGTTCTAGACAGGGGAATGAATCCTGACAAATTAAGAAATACGTGTTATAAATTGAATAAAAAAATAGAAAATAGAAAAAAGGGTATGATATACAATACAAATCCTTTGCATAACGTGTTTTGCGATTAAGCTACACAATGCAAAAGCATGCCATCTGTCCTATGTCACGAAGATTTTTGTAAGTTCATGAGTGTGTGTTTTTGGACCATTGCGCAGTTGGGGGTATGTTATGACTACCTCTGGCATGTGATTAGACATGTTATTTAAAGTGGCACTATGATATGTCATATTAATATGAGATGCTTTCATGTCTAAAAATGTTCTACATTTATCTATATTCTATTTATATTATATCTTGGCTATATTGAGACCTATCTATATGTGAGTTAACCAACCTATGCTTACTAACAAGCTGCATTTGCTCTATTCTTTGAAACGTCTGTCTAATTGGTTAGCATGAGCTCTAAACAAGTAAAAATTATGAAATCCATCCTTCAAGAAAGGTAGTTATATATCACTTATCAAAACTTAAACCCAAGCCAACATTTGCCTAATAGCTATATACATGTACAAGAATCTTCCATTAGAGGAAAAAA